TATATATATATATATATATATGCTTTGCTGGTTTTTGTGTTTCTCTAGAGAACCCAATCTAACACACTAACCTAGAAGTTTCTCCTGATCAGAGCTCAACTACTAAGGTTTCTTTTTAAATATTGAATCTGAATCCCTCTTGCTAACAACTTATCTTTCCTTTCTATATATCCTATAAGAAGAGACACACTTTTTATAAACCACTTGTCAATTATTGGCTTCTCTTAAAAATATCTATTTGGATCAAAAGTTAGGGCATATTCCACAAAAGACTCAAATGAATGACTTTTTACTTTTAATCCCTTTTGTGTAAACCCCTTCCTCTTACCTTGTATTCTCAGATACTTTCTTTACCAGATCTTCAGTGATGAATACCATGTAGTGGGCAAAAGGGAAAATCTATACATACGTGATTAACTGAGCGACATCATGGCGCTTTCTTCTTGGGAGGATACTCCCCCTCCATTTAGAAAAATTTTCCAAGGTGAAGCTTGCATTTGGGGTTATCTTTATCTTATCTTCATCTGTCCAGATTTCCATACCAACTAAGGCCACATGAGTATTGAGCTTTTTGTAAAGCTGTCCAGAGACATAAATGGCAAAGCAACAATTTATAATGAAGATATTATCTTTTAATATTTCCAATGTGCTTGATATTTTCAAACTTATTTATAATAGCATTGTAAATACTTTCTTTCCTAAATACTTGTGAAGCAGGACTTACCACCTGTTTTTGCCGCACTACCATCTCCCTTCTAAGGCAGGGCAGATACCCTTCTGAGGTTTCATGTTTTTAAACTCCTTTTTTTTTGTGGAGCAAAACCTCTATTGAAACAAACTTTTATTGCAACCTCAAGAAATTATAATTTTGTGCTAATGGCTCATTAATATGACTACTTTTAAGTGTATTTTCTCATATACTTTTGAATGTCTTCAGAGTCCTAATATTTCAGAATTAGCAAAGTTGGGTCAGTGCTGGTTTGGGTGATAGAGAAGTTCCATACTACATGAAAAAGTCTAGCATCTGTGCTTCATAATAAGATAAATAAACCTCTCATTCTTAAATGGGGACTGAGACAAATAAACTGCCAAGCATAAGGGACAAATCTATGAAATAAAGAGCTAAAGTAATGAGACTATGTGCTTGTGATTGAGATAAATGCTTAAATGGCTAGTATGATTTATAAATCTGCACAGTCTCTCAACTACCCATCTATTTTCCCTCCTTTACTTTCCCTGGTAACCAACAAAGAAAATTTCCTTCCCTGCGTAAACCTTTCCTTGAATTTTTATAATAATGGTTTCATACAATATTTATCCTTTTGTGCTTGACTTTTTTTCCACTCAGGATAATGCCCTACAAGTTCATCTACATTATGGCATAATTTGCTGATTCTTCCTCATTCTTTAAACTCTCAGCCAAACAATTGACAGTTCTACCAGGTGAAAAACTACACCAAGGACATACACTTCTTAGAAGAATCAATCATGGGGGATTGGGAGGGCAGCATTTACACAGGGAGAAAGCTAGGGAGGCAGGAATGCATAGGGGGAAGGAAATAGGAAAAAGGTAACTCCTGGGAGGAAGTAGGAGGAGAGGTGTTACCTTGCAGGGAATTAATTAGTGTCAAAAAACAAAATGTGTATGAACTGTTGAATGTCATACAAATCTGCTTTGTAAAATTTCACCCAAATCACAAGAAAGGTTTTTTTTTTTAAAAAAAAAAACAAAAACAAAAACAAAAAACCTGCACAGTGATAAGCCTTCTCATGAAGCAAGAAGCAATTTTCTGCTGAAAAATCTGAAGAAATTAAATAT